AGATCAGCCCCATGGGCCCATCTACCCCGGTATCCTGCCTCCTCCCTACTCCTGGATCAGCCCCATGGGCCCATCTACCCTGGTATTCTGCCTCCTCCCTGCCTTGGATCAGTCCCATGGGCCCATCTACCCTGGTATCCTGCCTCCTCCCTACTCCTGGATCAGCCCCATGGGCCCATCTACCCTGGTATCCTGCCTCCTCCTTGCCCCCAGATCAGCCCCACGGGCCCATCTACCCCGGTATCCTGCCTCCTCCCTACCCCCAGATCAGCCCCACGGGCCCATCACCCTGGTCTCCCGTCTCACTCACTGGCTGTGGGCGCCAGCTCGGTCTCGCGGGGGGCCAGGTGGGGCTCGAGGGCGGGGGAGACGGTGAAGCGGGAGAAGCGCAGGGCGTCCATCAGGCTGGGCTCCGCCCCCTTGGCCGGGAGCAGCGCGGGGGGCGGCGTTGGGGGGGCCCCCGAGCTGGGGTCCGTCACCATTGAGACGAAGGACGGGTTCTGGGCCATCAGCGGGAAGTCGTCGTCCCATTCGAAGCTGCCGCCTGGGGGCAGGTGGAGGGTGAGAGGGTGCGTGGCCAGCCCCACCCCACTGCCAATGCCCCTTCCCCCACTGGTCGGCACAGCCAACGCCCCCTTCCCCTGGGGATATCTGGCTTGTGTCTAGCCCCTCCCATCTCCTCTTGAGCCCCCACCTCCCTCTGGCTCAGCTCCCTCCTCCCCCCACCTTGGGGCACCATGGCAAGGGGGCGTCGACCAGCAGCTGCTGTTTATGGTGTATGCAAACGAGCACTTTAAAATATGCAAACGAGCCCATGAAATAATTGGTGATGGCTTGGCCCTGCCCACCCCCTGGTAGCCACTCCCACCCCCGTGGCGTGGGGCTCACTGAATCCGTCGGCGGGTGGGAAGGCCTCGAGGGCAGGCTGCCCCGCGGGGCCCTGGCTGGTGCCGCCCTCGCCCTCTGGGCCGCTCTGCGAGCTCAGCTCATTGGTGGGCGTCTCCTAGGAGCAGATGGGGGAGAATTAGTGTGTTGGCCCCGCCCACCCCCGGCCTGGCCCCGCCCCCTTCCCATCACCCCCACACCCTGGGTTCCTCCCTATTCTTTGTCCCCGCCTTCCTACACCAGACTCCACCCCCTGCTCTCTTGGCCCCGCCCTCCATCCCTCAGGCCCCGCCCTTGTCCCCCAGTCCCCACCCTCACCTGTTCAAAGAGGTAGA